AAAGACCGAATATAGTGAGAGTTGTGAAGGGTAAATTTATTAATTTTGTAATCTATTTTTAAAAAAAAGTTACTTTTGTGGGGCAATTTTGAAAATATTGTTACAAGATAAAGGGTACTTTTGTTATCTCCATAAGGGGTAAAATTGAAATTTTAACTAAAAAACAATAACACTCGACAAATAAAGTTTCAATACACTAACCTTCAAAATGTCATTGTACTTTTGTGAAAATTTCAAAATTACCCTTGCTTGATGATAAAATTACCTATTTAAATAACTTTTTAATAAAAAATAATTATTATTTTGATAAATACACCTATCACAACCCTTTCTAACTTGAACCTTTGTATTTTGAAGGGTTGTTAACTCTAGACAAACCTTTATACCTGATCTATCAATTCACTAAGCGGACCCAAAAATCGTTTCACAGATGCATTGATTGGCCCTGAATATTATGTTGTCTTCATTCCAGTAAAAAAATGGCTTCTCAAGTATGGTAATGCCCAAAACTCTTTTAAATTCCACATATTGTTAATATGTCTATTTGAATGCAATGTAAACTTATTGACTAATGCATGCCAACCTTCTTCAAAATCCTCAATGGACTCATGGTTATATAGCTTGTAAAAGTCGGTGTCAAACTCATTATATCTTTTACAAAGGAAGAGGGAAAACCAGCCAGATAATTTTGATAATAAGTGCCATATACAAAATGCATGCTTAGTGTTGGGGAGTTCCTTATAGATTGCTACTTTGTGAGCCAAGTCTTGATCAGTTAGGATTGTTTGTGACATCGTTCCATTCATTAGACCTAAAAATGTCTACAAAATATCATTCTTTAGAAATATTAGAAACATATAAGCATGCTCAAACACACATCATTGGAAGAATTCAAAGCTCAAAATTTGTAGAAGATCACATACCTTCATTGCCCATGAAAAAGATTGAACTCTTTCATCTCGTAATAGAACACACCCAAACAAACAAGTGTCACCATGGTTATTTACACCTACCCAAATGCCGAATGGCATAGAGTAACCATTTGACCGGTAAGTTGTATTGAAAACTACTACATCACCGAAGATCTCATACGCATGAGAACAAGAACCATGAGACCAAACAATATGCTCCAACCTGTTATCTTCCCTTACTGTAAAATCATACTTAATTTGCTTATATTTTGTTAAGAGAATATGAGCATCATTGTCACGGTTCGCATTGTTCGTAGCACATACAAAGTTATACATATCCTTATCTAGAAATGGTAATTCCCCTGGTTTAAGATTTCTCTCTATTTCTAACAACCACATCATATCTCTAACACATATACCAACTTTGGAAAATTGTTGAATATGTAGCTTGTAGCTTTCTGAAATATTACGATAAGCAGGCAAAAATCTAACTTGTGGCTCGAGAACATCATGATTGCGTAAATTAACAAAGGTTACAACACGCCAATAAGAAATATCATAATCCATGACTTTTGCGATACTCATATCCGCTCCACAATTGCATCTCTTTGATGATCGATCTCTTTCTCCTTTATTTGCAAACAATTCTTTGTTTGTCAAATGGCCATCCTTATGGCAAACATAATATCTTCTAGTAGTTCCATTGCCATCACCTTCTTTTCCAATTGTTTGTTGACGACGCAGTGAAAACCCCCATGCCTTGGCAAAACTCTTGTAAAATTCATAAGCACCATCATGACTCGAAAATATTTTTTCATGGTATGGAACTACATCACTAGGAACTCTTTCTAATGGGTTTTCTACAATTGAAACAAAGCCCTCTACAAGCATGGTCTCATTTGGAGGAGTTTCCATATACTTAATGTACCTATAAAAAAGGACTCAAGTTTGATTGTGAGTACCTGCAAAAAAATGACTAAAATAGATAATATTGATACATTAGAGATTTTGGGCTTCTTCATAAAAATTATGATGGCTAAATAAATCAAAACCACAAAGACATCCATTTCACATTTTTTTGCTTGTCTTTTCCTACTTTAACTTTTTTTTTTTTTTTACTTTACATGCAGCACTTATCTAATGTGGTGAATCACACGGACCTCCATTTTACTTCTTCCTACCATTTAGAAAATACATAAAAATACTTTGGCAATGAGGATGCAATGCATGAAAATCTCTAGGAATTTTGGTACCATAACAGGCCTCTATTAAGAATTTTGTCGAATACTTTGTATATGTGTTGCATCTCAACAAGATTTACAAACAAATCAATAACTGCAGTTCATTGAAACAAGTCAATAATTACAAACAAGCAAAAGAATTTACAAAGAGAATGAAAGTTGTAGGGACAAGAGACTTAACATATAGGGCAATAATATCAAACTCACAACTCATCTTAACTCTCCCATATCTGTTGTGCATATATATTAAAGAGGGATACGATTTTTGTGTGCTTTGAGACACACCTGTTACATTGAGTCGACCTCCCAAAATCCATCATTGATATGGATTTTGGATCATAAATTTTGTGGGTCCATCATCTAGGTCACTGTGATTATAAATTTGAAAGAGAAAGAGTTGCTATAAAAATGGAAACCGGAGATTTTTAAAAACTAAAAAGAAAAGGTGGGTATTTTGCCCAAATTTTACATTAAAAGAAAAAACAAATAGAAAATATATAAAATACTTTGGCAATGGGGATGCAATGCATGAAAATATCTAGGAATTCTGGTATCATGACAGGGCTCGATTAGGAATTTTGTCGAATACTTTGCATATGTGTTGGATCTCAACAAGATTTACAAACAAATCAATAACTGCAATTCATTGAAACAAGTTGATAATTTCAGTAAATAATAACAAACGAGTAAAATTTTGTTTTCTGTCTTTGTATGCATCACTTATGTACATTGGTGAACCATAGCAGTTCATTGAAACACAGACCTCCATTTTACTTCTTCCTACCATTTACTATCAAATTCAACAGTCCCCACGCTTTAATAATCTTCAATGTTTTCTAATTCAAATAAAATCCAGTCAATCCAAGTTTCTAATCACAATTGAAGCTTTCTAGATAAACACGGAGAGACATCATTGAATAATAACTTTAACAGAGGTCCTAAAAGAGAGAGAGAGAGAGAGAGAGAGAGAGAGATAGGTTTTTGACAACTTGGAGAGAGAAACAAACACAGAGAAATAAAAAGAGATTAATGAAAACTTACCTAGAGATCCACCGAATTGTTGCAGAGCTTTTACAAAGCAATGGTGCAATTCAGGAGACAAGCACCCCCTAGCGATGGGGATAGAGTGCAGAGGCTCTACGTTTTTTAAGAGAGAGAGTATGGGGGAGGGCAAGGAAGGAGAGAGAATGGGGAACACAAGGGGCGGGGAGAGAGCAGAGGCTCCTGCTTTTTTTAGGAAAGAGAGTATGGGGGAGGGCAAGGAAGGAGAGAGAATGGGGAAGGCAAGGGGGCGGGAAGAGAGAGCAGAGGCGTATTGGAGAGGGGATAAAGAGCAGAGGCCAAAATTCAAAACTCCCCCGTTTTTTTCTAATTCATTTATGGGTTTTTAGTAAAAGGTCATCAAATAATGCGAGGGTAGTAAATGTAAAAAGGCACTTTACAAGTCCCTCTAACTTGAGTTTACGTTACGTTTTTTTTTTTTTTTTTTGGTTAGGTTGTTAAGTCTAGATATATATATATATATATATATATAATCAACAGTTGAGATTGAATCTGGACTATCATGGATGTCTAATAGTGTAGGAATTTTATTTTATTCTTTCTATAAATCCAAATAATATGAAATTTTAGAAGTGTGTTTATCCAAAATAGTTGAATCTTAAAAAAATATCAAAAAAATATTTTACTTGAAATAAATTGAATATTAGAAAGTGTTTTAACCATAAATACTTATTTTCATATTTTCCTATCTTTTTTTGGATTATTAAAAAAATACCCCCCACACATAAGTTGATTTTTTAAAATCTATGTTTTGACTTCTTCTTTTTTTTGTACCAAATGAAGTGTTTTGCTTAATCTTACTTTAAACATACATTTTTTACTTTTTGGTTTTATTATATTTTTTAATTTTTTTTTTTTTGCTGCGACATTACTGGTACAAATGCAGGCAGCATTACTCGGACTCAAGCTAAGTACTCGGATCAAGCATGGCCGGAACATTCACCCCAAGTAAAACTCAAACACTGCTCTTTAGCACAAAAACAACTAAGAGATATTTCCAACAAAATATTCCTTTTTTAATTTCCAAAGAGCTATTGTTATTATTATTATTATTATTATTATTTCGATTAAAAAAATCATTTATGTTTTTATATGCCACTTAAATAATTTATTCTATACTTTATTAATAAAATGTAACTATTTAATTTTAAATTTAGATTTTTTTTTGTGCTCTCGAAGGAACCCGTGACTTACTTTAATTTCTGTATTACCACTTCTCAAATATTTAATTATAAATATGTTTCCTTGACTACAACAAATGAAACAAACTTTATGTTATTTGAATAATTTATAGTTTCAAATAATTTTATTCTGAAAAGTAGTTTAAGATTTTTTTTTAATTTATTATTACAATATTTGAAATATTCTAAAATTATGTCCATCATTTTCATTTAAATATTTGTTTTCCTTTTTTTATTATAATATTAGGAAATAAAACCAATTTTTAAAATTATTGCAGTTTTAGATATGGGCGTTATATCTACATATGTCTAATTGCATGAGTTCATTATATTGATAATATTCAATTATAATTCCTACAATTAAATATTACAAAAATTGTTTAATTTAATCTGATCTTAATCTAGCCAGTAACCACTCACTTTTTATCGTTCTATTTGTGTATCATAGTCTTATTTTTGCAGTTAGAAAATCTTAGTTATGAAAATTTTTGTGAAATTTTCCTTTGTTTTGAACTTAGTATGTTATTTTATCCATGATTGTGATGTTTTATTTGAGAATTGATGGATAGAAATTGAGTTAGAGATTTTAGGGAAGGGATATATTAGAGATGAGTAAGAGATTTTAGAGAAGATATAAATAAAATTAAGGAGATTTGAGATGTTAAGGGGCGTTTGGCCCTAAGACTTAACTAATGGAGATATATTCTAATGCTTTGTATTCTTAATATCTGATGGGAAAGGTTTCTATACTTCTCCTACAACATATAAGATCTATGCTTCCTCTACCATCCAGCCATCCAATTTTGATCAAGAGAGTCACTCACTGTTTGATCTTAGATTTGACGTCTCCAAGTATTCTATTTTTAGTTTTTTTTTTTATACAAATTGTATGAATATGAAATTTAGTACATGTCATATTATCATTGGGGCACACCTATAAAAAATATTAAAAATAATGTTTTGATAAAATATAATGACCAAAATACCCCTTGAAGCTTTCAGGGGTATTTTGGTCATTTTATTTTATTGAATTTTTTAAAAATATTTTTATCTAATGCAAGTTTAATAGAGGATTGGATGTCCAAAATTTGGTGTCAAAATAATTTATAGAGAAAAATTAAAAATAATATAGTGTAGAGACGTGACATTGTGATTGGGGCAATCATAGCCCTCCATTTAGAATAGACGGTTGGATAAAAGGAAATATATAAGTTTTATGCTGTAAAGGAACATAGAAAGCTTTCCCATATCTGATTGTCGACTCAAAGGCAGAGAGGCTTCCCTTGAACCCTAATTCCAAGGAAATCCCGGGCCTTGCCAGTGGGCTTTAAAATGTGGCCCAATAGTTATGACCAATTTTAAAATGATTATGAAGAATACTCAATTGTTCATGTCATTGCCCTTTAATCATAAATTTTCCTTTACCTTTCTTATTTTAAACTTTTGTTATTCTTATACTGATGCTTTATGCAAAGGGCAAGCTTTCTATGCTTCCCCTACAACATAAAAGTTCTATCCTCCCCCTTATCCAACCGTCCATTCTGAATGGAGGGCTAAAATTGCCCCAATCACAATGTTACGTGTTTATATTATTTTATTTTTAATTTTTTTCTATAAACTATTTTGACACCAAATTTTAGACATTCATTCTTCTATTAAACTCTCACTAGCGAAAAATATAAAAAAATTATTTTCAATAAAATAAAATAACCAAAATCCCCCTGAAATTTTTAAGGAGTATTTTGGTCATTATATTTTATCGAGAAATTAGTTTTAATATTTTTTATAGGTGCGCCTCAATAAAAAGATAGCACATATCAAATTTCATATTCATACAATTTGTATAAAAAAGATTGAAAATAAAATACTTTGAGACGTCGGACCTAATATCAAATAATGAGTAGCTCTCTTGATCAAAACTAGATGGTTGGATGGTATGGGGAGGATAGAACTTCGATGCTGAGGAGAAGCACGGAAATCTTTCCCTTATGCAAATGACATCAATCATGCACCTAATAGTTGTTCTTTTTGGCCATTGAGTATTTTATTTCTCTTTCATATCTTATCATATATGTATGTGTAAAGCATGTACATCTACTGGTTTTATTTACAGTACATTTGAAGGCTGAGATTAGGTTTTCAATAGGAATAATTACGGTTCAAATATGAAATCAGGGTTTTAATCAAGGGTGCAGTTTCAACCTTAAACAATAAAAGTAAGGAACACCCCTTGATCTTGCTCAAATATGCACTTTCGATATCAAAAACCTCGATGTAATATCTACTCTGGCACCTAATTATGAAATTTAAATATTCAAAAGTGATATAGATGGAGCAAATTTATAAGCACTGATGTTTTGAAAATGGATGGTCTAGATAATGTGTTGCGGAAAAAGTTTTTGTGCTTCCCCTACAGCATAGAAGTTCTATCCTCTCCCTACCATCCAGCCATCCAATTTTGATTAAGAGAGCCACTCACCGTTTGATCCTAGATCAGATGTCTCAAAGTATTTTATTTTTAGTTTTTTTTTTATACAAATTGTATGAATATGAAATTTGGTACGTGCCATCTTCTCATTGGGCGTACCTATAAAAAATATTAAAAATAATTTTTCGATAAAATATAATGTCCAAAATACCCCTTGAAACTTTCAAAGGTATTTTGGTCATTTTATTTTATTGAAAATATTTGTTTATATTTTTCACTAGTGCGAGTTTTATAAAGGAATGGACATCCAAAATTTGGTATCAAAATAAAAAAAATTAAAAATAAAATAGTATAGAGACATGACATTGTGATTGAGGCAATCTTAGGCCTCCATTCATAATGGATGGTTGATAAGGGGAAGGATAAAACTTCTATGCTATGGGGGAAGCATAGAAAGGTTGCCCATGTGTTACATAATGCACTATTTGGGGATTTGAAATATTTTATTTTTATCTTATATGCATACATCTCGAGATATAAATAATAATGGCTGGGATTAGACATTAGAACAAAAATTTTTGGTGGATTTTTTCCATGCACCTTACTTGTACAATGTAATGTTGACACCTTACAAAAACATTTTCTTTAAAGTAATCCTGTTGAAATCAACATGTTCTGAAATCAGCCACTTTAAATGAACTCGTATTAACAACTCATATTAATCACTCACACACACTGAGAGATTTTAGGCATAGATCTTGAAGAGCTATGAAAAAGATTAGAATCATTTTGGTTTTTTTGTTTTTAGGAGAATTGAGGACTAGAAATCAATGTAAAGTGAATCGAAATACTTTTAAAAACGGTCTAAAATTCTATTGAAAAAATAGCTGGATTCATCAAGAATTCAGCAATACCCAATTCTCTAGCAAATGTTGCCATGAATCATATAATGAACTGGGTGATTTGGGAGAAACATGAACAATCCCTAATTTCCTAGGGGTACTGGATCACCCCCTTAGGCCCCTGCTTATTATGAGCCATCTTGGGAAATTTCTAGTTAGCATGACGATTTTTAGTTAATTTGGGTGATTTCGAGTCGGCTCCAGGATCTTTTTGACACCAGTTCGGAGGGAACTTGGATTATTAAGTTCGCTATGGTGGAGTAGGTTCAAAACTGGTTATTTTCTGTTACACAGGGAGTAGTAAAATGGGTTAAAGTTTAATGGAGTACGAGAATTTTCAACTCTGGAATTTATTTGGCTACGGGATTATGCTCGAAAATTTGACAAAAAATCGAACCACAAGTTATTGGAAAAAGTTTATATAAGGCATCAATCTTATACTATGGAAGTACGGTGCATTAAAAAACTCACGATAAAAACCCTTAAATTGATCGTCATGACCTTGAGATGTATGGTTAAAGAAAAAACCTGTTTTGAAGGCTTAAAATATTGCAACTTGCAATACATTATTTTGGCCATCTATTTTCAAGATTTGTGAGTATTTATGGATCTACTCGATCTACACTATTTTTTTACTTTAAAATTCTACACGTAGTAGGTAAATATATTTCATACAATCCTCAAAGGTTTCCAAGACCTAAATTGCGTTTGACAATAGAATATGGAAGTGTGTTTTACTTTTGATTATTTAAGGTTGACATCCTATCTAAACC